TGGGTTCGCCGTGGGAGCCGTGCGGGATCTCGACGAAGATTTCTGCATCTACAGGTGCGTAGAGAAATGCGTTTGCGACGTCGATTTGTCGCAATTCCTTTTTCTTCATGGCGGCGACGGCGATGAGGATTCGGAGTGAGGTGTGACGGCTGACCGGAGCGAAGGTTTCGGTGTAATCTCTTCCGTGCTCCTGGTCAAAGCCGCGTACGACCCAGCGAGCTTTGAATTTGTCGATGGTGCCGTCGGCTTTCGTCTTCACACGGAAGACCCACTTTCCGGTAAGGATAGTCTTGTTTTGTGCTACGCCGATGGGAACGATTTTCCAGGTGTTGCGCTCCTCCAGTGCCTTCAGTTCTTTGTCCATGGCTTCACGCCATTTCTCCCTGTGTTCCCCCCCCAGAGCCTGTTGAACTGTCGCAGGCTCCTTAGGAATGGCGGCGCCATGGACTGCGGTGACGAGACCAAGGATTTGCAGCCCAGTCTGTGAGTATCGAGGGAGTTCTGGATCCTCGGGATAAGCTGCTTCGTCTCCCGCTTCTCGGTCGGGTATGAAATTCGGCCCTACCCTTTCTGCTTCGTTGGTGTTGACTGTCGCAGGTGTTACATAACCATTGTCGGCGAAATGGTAGAAGACTTCGGCGTTGTTACTGTCGCGAGGGTTATCCTCATCCATGGGCACGTTGACGGAGCAGTACGGAAGAGGTCTGGCTTCCTCCGATGCGTTGTCGACGTTCTGCTCATCCCAGTCTGCTTCATCCGCTACTAACGCGAAGGCTCGGTCACCACGAAAACCATTGGTGAGGTCCCGATTCTCGTGCAAGTTGGCGAGGTACGTCTGAAGGGTGAGGCGTTCATAGAAGTTCACATCTCGTGCTGCTACTGTTTCTTTTGTGTGGACGTCGAAGATTCTCCACGCGTTGTAATTTTTCTCGATGCCGAGGTGTAGTCCCCACTGTGCCCGTTGTGAAAATCTTCCCGCTCGTGCTTCTGGGGGTCTGTACTGTACCATGCACCCGAAGACTCGTAACATTTTTGTGCTGCCCTGCTTCCCTGTCCACAGCAGATGCGGTGATGCGTTGTTCGGGAGTGACGACGACGACAACAAGTTGTGCAGCATGACAGCATGGTCCATTGCTGCTGGCCACTGGTGGTTGGGTAGCCGCATGCCACGTAACAGTTTGCGCATGCTGTTCTGCAGAGTCCTGTTCATTCGTTCTGCGACACCTTGCTGCTGATGTGCGTAGGGAAGGGAGAGGAGTTGCTTGATCCCCCTTTCCGCCAGGAACTGCTTGAAGCGCTGAGAGGTGTACTCGCCACCTCCGTCTGACTGGAAGCTTTTCAGTTGCGTTCCAGACTCTCTCTCTGCTATCGGTAGCCAGGCGGCGAATGCTGCGAGTGCCATGTCGCGGCTGGGTAGGTTACGATGCCAGACATATCGAGTGGCGGCGTCGATGAATGTGATGGTGTAGTTGTAGTTAACTTGTCCTGGTTCGCGATTGTAGAGGATGTCGCTGTAGACCTTTTCGAGTGGTGTGTACGCTGGAGCGCTCGGGTTGTGATGTGGAGCGAACGGTCGATGAGGTAAGTCAGCTTCTGGACATATAAGGCAAGTCCCTCGTGCCTTCTGGAGTTCTCTGCCATCGGGTAGAAGTAGGGAGTCTTTGTCAAGAACTCCTGCTCTTATCGTGTTATTTAAAACCGTGTTGCTTGGATGTCCTGTGCGTGCGTGCCAGATCTCTTCAGAGGCGCGGTGTCCGGGTGAACGTTGGTATGCGTCGGAGTTGGAGTAAAAACTGGCGACGAAGTTGGCGCTTCGGTGGACTTCACGTTGAGTCGGATTCAGCTGTTGCGCGTTTGTTGGTGGTGCTTCGTCGACTGTGACTGGTGTCGTTGTTCCTGCTGCTGCTGATATTGTCTCTGCTGCCGATGTTGTTGCTCCTGCCGATGTTGTCTCTGCTTCTGATGTTTGTTGAATCGTCGCTAACGTTCTTGTTCGTTCTGCTTCAGGGATAGTGTGGGAGTACCAGAAACCTCCCGGGCTGAAGTCGGGGTCGAGATCAGGAGGGTGTGTCCAATCAGTAAAATTCACGATGGCGTCGCTGTCTGCAGTGCCCAGGTGAGGAACGAAGTCGAGGACGAAAACGTTGTTCTTAAGCACTGCCTTCCCGATGTAGAGACCGCCTTTCCCGTGGTATAGCTTGAACTCCTGGGTGGTGCTGTCGGCTTCCAGGTGAATCCCCTTCGCCATCAGCTGGCTAACACTCAGTAAGTTGTAACCGAGTCCTTCAGCAATGAGTACCTTAGACATGTGCAGTATGACATTTGTTTCTCTTGACTGAAGCTGTACCACTCCTTGTCGTCGTGTGCGCAGGTTTTGATTGTTGGCGACCGTGATGATCACTTCTCGTTGGAGTCGATGTTCGCGTTGTACGAAGCGCCCGGACGAGTACATGTGTTGCCCGCAGCAACTATCCAAGAACCAAGTGTCTTGGCCGGACGGTTCACTTTGAGCGATGGCGGCGTAAGTCGGATTCGGGTGGAGTGATTCCCGGCGAGACGTCCTGTTGTCGAGCTCCTCTTCTGGTGAGTAATGGGGTGGTGACTCTGTTATGCAAGAGTCGTTTATCTTTACCATGCAGTTGACTATGTTTCTTGCTCCTTGTGCAGGTTGTCCAGTTGAAGTCGTTGAAGCTTGAATCGTTGTTGTCGGACTTGCTTGCGTTGAAGTAACTTGTGAGCTTGAAGGCCGTAGTTGTCGCTGTGGTGTTGTCTGACGAGACGGGCAATGCGTGCGGGGGTGTCCTGATGTTTTGCAGATGTGACAAAACGGAGGTACTAACTTCGGCTGCTGCTGTCGGTTGTTGTAGTTGTAGTGTCGTCGCTGAGTGTGGAAAGCGAACTCCGGTGCTAATGCCCTTTTCTTGTGCCTTTCTTCTTGCAGGTCCATATCCTGCTGCTCGGCGTGGATTTCGGCGCAGAGTGCCGCTTCGGAAATCCTCCCGTGTGCTCGAAGAATTGCTTTGGTGGCGCGCCACTGAGGACCGAGGCCACCGATGACGACTGTTACGAAGGCGTCTTCAGAGATTGATCCTCCGCATCGAAGAAGCTTGTCGCGCAATTCGCGACATCGGCTGATATACGCCAACCCCTTTTCTCCTGGTTTCATTTCAACTGTAGTCAACTGCGCCATTAACCTGCTCTGGTTTACACTGTCTGTTGCCTGATACAGGTTCTTCAGATGGCCGTACGCAAGTTCCGCCGAGTTGCCGAAGTTCCGGTAAGAGCGAATGTTCTGCTGCTGGGTTGGTGTGATGTTTCTCAGTAGAATAGTATACGCCATCATCGATTGATACGTATACTGCTGCTTCTCATACTGTGTGCCGTTTGCTGGATACTGCAGGGATCCGTCGAAGAAGCCGAGTATCTGCGCGCCCTCCATCATCAGCTCGAATTCAAAGGACCAGGTGAAGAAGTCCTTTCCGTCGAAAGGTCTTGACGTTTGTAATTTCAAAACATGCGCGAATTGCGACTGAACTTGTAACGCGTCCATTGGTTTGTCTTGCGCAGGTGAAGGTTGAGGCAGGAAGCTGATCGACCCGCGCTCGTACGGGGCGAAGGTGGGCTGCTGCTGTTGATTCCCTCGCGCATATGACGACCCATCAAGGCTCATGGGTGTCGCTCCGTTGTTGCTGTTGTGTGTCTGTGCAGGTCCCGACTGCTGGTGTTGCTCGTAGAAGGACATGAAGGAGAAGAATTTCTCCATCATGCTCTGGTCGAAGTCAGAAGGGTGATTCGTGGGGGTCTCGGTTGACGTTCCCCTTGGTCTTGCTGCCGTGCCTTCCTCTGTCTGCAGGCCAGAGGTTGGTGGTGGAGTAGGAGTAGTGCCCGAGGAGCCATTAGGGGAGCTCCTTTCCTTGTTTGTTGCCATGTCTTGTAATATAAAAAGTTTAGAGTTTCCTCTGTCAGCTCTCATACCATGTTGGGCTGAGAAGGCCCTTAAGGATCTTTGCAGAGGATAACTCTGGGTAGGAAACTTGTAATAGCGGAAGCGTTTACTGAATCTTGTGAACCGACCTTGCACTAGTGTGTGAGAGCAAAGTAGATTGAATTAAACAAGCAAATACAAGGCTTTATATAAGGGTACAGGGAATACGAATAGATAGATAACTGTATTGCTGTTGCGATTCGATACAGTGCGACTCGGGCAACTGCTCTGTAATGAGTCAGTTGTGTGTCCTTAACTGTCGCGCTGTAATTGTCGAGTCAAAGGTCGCTGACCTTTGATTTTCCCGTAACCTCCAGGCGGTTACCCTAACCTCCGAGGTTTGACTCGATGCTTCGATTCGGACTGCTTCGCTAGTGTCTTGGGTTTTGACACGACAGAAGCGCACTAAGACTTATTGTTTCCAACATTATGTTGGCATTATTTCCCTGAAAACTGACTTGTGGAACTCGGGCTACAGGAACAACACCTGGGTTACTTATATCTCATGCTAGCTAGTTCACACTCTTCCGCTTTCCTCCTCCAAGAGTTTTTACTCAATTCTAAGGTACACTGGACTTTTTGGGCTTGATTATACGCACACATGCGCCACTATCAGCATGAAGGTACACCGTACTTTCATATCCTTCGATTGAATACCCCTCTACACATCGGCCAATAGTTTTAACAAGTAGTATGTCTACATGTGGTGTATACCAAATAAATATTGATGTATGCTCAATCACTTGTGGACCAAGCCTACCTCTGCTGCTAATCACACGTGTTAGAGAGAAGGGTGCAGCCGCAGTCGAAAGGGGGGCATGCATAAATGCGCACACAGGTGGGCACTTGATTCATGGAGGTGCCCTGCAAGTGGCACAACTAGCAGTGCTGGTGCACAGCTGGAGCCCCACAGCACGTGTGGGGGAGTTGGGTGGTGCGGACGTGGTGGGGGGCGCCAGGCAATGGGGTGGGCGACATGGTGAGGGATGGGGTGGGGGACGCGGGAGGCTATGCGCTAGGGGGCGACCAAGGCTGCGAAGCGGGCATCCCTGGGCGTGTCGGGCACCTGCACAAATGGCAGCGTGAGCAGCTGCAGAGAGCGAGCGAGAGAGAGAGAGAGAGAGAGAGAGAGAGAGAGAGGAGGCAGTGGCATGGGGGAGCATGCGAGGTGGTGAGGGTAGGTGGTCCATGTGGCAGCGAGTGCGTGTGCCTGGCACGCGGTCGGTGCCTGTGGCGTGTGTTACGCACATGCGAGGCTTGCAAAGAGAGAAGAGCTACGGAAGGTGAGTGGGACGTGCTGTGGGGCATGGAGTGGCAAGAGACTGTTGCAGCATGGGGGCATGCGTGCAGCATGGGGGCATGCGTGCAGCATGGGGGCATGCGTGCAGCATGGGGGCATGCGTGCAGCATGGGGGCATGCGTGCAGCATGGGGGCATGCGTGCAGCATGGGCGTGCAGCATGGGGGCATGCGTGCAGTGATACAAGCGGACCAGAGAAGATGGACAGAGGAAGGCAGTGGCAGCATGGCTCACATGGCAGCATGGCTCACATGGCAGCATGGCTCACATGGCAGCATGGCGCACATGGCAGCATGGCGCACATGGCAGCATGGCAAGACATAAGAGTGTGACTCACATCGGAGGCGGAGGGGCGCTGGTTGGGGTCGAGCTGGAAGCAGGCGGTGAGGAAGTCACTGGCCTCGGCGGACACGCCCTCAGGGATGGGCGGGCCCGTGGTGGTCTTGGCGATGTGGAATATGGCCGACCACGTGTTGTCCATCCCCGGCCATGGGTGCCTGCCGCCCCCTCCACGCCCCACGCCAACATGCCAGCAGGAGGTCAGTGTGAGCACGAAACAAGCGCAAGGGAGGCAGAATGTGGCAAGAAAACGACAAGGAATGGCTGTAGCGAGGCGGGAAGGGAGACGGGAGCGTGGGGCTCTACTCACCTACAGCAACCTTCATACCCCAGTCCATGACTCACGCCCTGTCAGCATCTCGATGACTCATGCCCCGTCAGCACCTCGATGACTCACGCCCCGTCAGCATATCAATGACTCACCGCCCGGTCAGCATCTCGATGACAGTGCAGCCAACGCTCCAGATGTCAGCGCGGCGGCCGTACCCCTCGCCCTTGATGACCTCGGGCGCCATCCAGAACACGGACCCGCGGATGCTCTTGCACCCCTCGCCCACTGTGCCCTCATGGAAACTCTGCGCGCCAAGGAGGGGCCGGGAGGAGCGGAGGGAAGGAAGGAAGGGTGGGGGGATGGAGGGTGAGCGTGTGGTTGGTTGGCAGAGAGGAAGAGGAGGGCAACTGTGAGACGCCAAACTCCTGCTGGGGATTGTGTTCCACGCCACACACCTCCACACCGCACACCTCCATGCCGCACACCTCCATACCGCACACCTCCATGCCGCACACCTCCATACCGCACACCTCCATGCCGCACACCTCCACACCGCACACCTCCATGCCGCACACCTCCACACCGCACACCTCCATGCCGCACACCTCCATGCCGCACACCTCCATGCCGCACACCTCCACGCCGCACACCTCATCCACACGCCCCCACCTGCCTTGCACCCTTCCACGCGCCCGCCTTGCACAACCCCCCCTCCCATTCCACCTTCACCCCCCGCTCACTCCCGCTCCCCCACCCCCCGGTGGGCTGACCTTGGAGGCGCCGAAGTCGGCGAGCTTGATGACGCCGTCGCGGTCGACGAGCACGTTGCCGCCCTTGATGTCGCGGTGCACGATGCGGCACGCATGCAGGTACTCCAGCCCCAGTAGCAGCTGCCTCGTGTACACCCGCACCAGCGACTCGCTGAACGCCCCAAACTTCTCCAGCATGCTGTGGGGGGGACACGGGGGGGAAGGAGGGAGGAGGGAGAGGAGTGAGGAAGGGGAGGGGAGAGGGATGGGGGGTAACAAGCGAGAGGAAGTGGTAAGGAAGAGGTGGCACTAAAGTGCAAGTCTATGAAGCTCAGCTCAGTAAGACAGGTGCATCCACGCCCACGTGTGCCCCACGCCCACCTGTGGATGCAGCCCACCTGTGGATGGAGCCCACCTGTGCATGGAGCCCACCTGTGCATGGAGCCCACCTGTAGAGGGAAGCTTACCCTATTGGCCAATAAGTTGGCCAATGGGTGAGCTTGCTTGTGACCCAAGCAACCACAAATGTGTGTTGGTTGGGATTGGTTGAGCTAAGGACCAATCCCAACCAACCACAAAATGTGGTTGGAGGGTACACTAAGGAACCCCCCAATTTATAAATGTGCTACACTTCTAGCCTATGTATGTTGTATGAAATATGAAATTACAGCACAACCCCCCAACATGCATAAGGCTAGAAGGCTAGAATCAAGAGGCGGGAGGCGACTTAGGAGGAGTGAGGCCAAGAAGACGAAGTAGGAAAGAGTGAGCGGCATGAGGAAGAGCTTTTGTGAAGATGTCGGCAAGGTTGGCCGCCGAGTCAACCTTGTCGAGGCGAAGGTGCCCCGCCTGAACAAGATCGCGAATGAAGAAATGACGGAGCTCAATGTGCTTGGAGCGCCCGTGAAACACAACATCTTTGGTGAGGTGAATGGTACTAGCATTGTCACACCAAATTGTGGGACAGCGCTGGGGGGCACCAAGTTCCTCAAGAAGGAAGGTGAGCCAGCGGGCCTCTTGCGCAGCCATGGTGGCGGCATACAATTCCGCCTCGCAGGAGGAGAGGGCTGCAGCCGAGGAGCGGGTGGAGCGCCAGCTGATAAGGCCGCTGCCAAGAGAGAAGCCATAGCCCTGGGAGGAGCGACGATCTGGCCGGGAATCAGCCCAGGAGGAGTCACTGTAGCCGCTGAGAAGATGTGGGGAGGGACCGCCAAGGGTAAGGACATAGTCCTTGGTGCCACGAAGGTACCGGAGGACACGCTTGGCGGCCTCCCAGTGCTCTTCCGTATGCTTGCCTGCGCCAACAAAACGAGCGAGGACGCTGATGGGGTAGGCAAGGTCAGGGCGAGTGGAGACCATGGCGTACATGAGGGAGCCGATGAGCTCGGGATAAGGATGGGAGGAGGCTGAGGGGGAGGTGGGTGGAGAGAGGTGGTGCCCGACAGAAAGAGGAGTAGGTTGGGCGCCACCGCGGACCATGTCAAACCGCTCCAAGACCTGCTGCAAGTAATGACCCTGGGAGAGAGAGATGGTGCGGGCGGAGCGGTCACGGGTGATGGTCATGCCCAGGTAATGCTGCAGCTCGCCCAAGTCCTTGCATTTGAGACGGCTGCCCAACTCAGCCTTAACACGCTCCAATTCGCCAAGGTCGGCAGTGAGCAGAATCATGTCATCGACATACACAAGGATGTAGAACGGGGAGGAGCAGGTGCGGAGGAAGAGGCTGGCGTCAGAGCGGGAGGTGCGGAACCCAAGTTCAGCAAGGGTGGCGGCAAGCTTAGCATGCCACTCCCTCAGGGCCTGTCGAAGCCCATACACAGGGCGACGCAGCTGCCAGACAGAGTCTGCAGGGAAGGGAAGGTGAAAACCGGCTGGACGCTCCATGTAGATAAGCTCGCGGAGGACGCCTTGGAGGAAAGCGTTAGAGACGTCCATTGAGTGGATCTCCATATTGAGGCGAGCGGCGAGGTCGAGCACTGCGCGAACAGTAGCAGGCTTGGCAGTGGGAGAGAAGGTATCGAAGAAGTCAAAACCATACTGCTGCGTGAACCCCTTGGTACAGTAACGAGCCTTATAGACGGGCGGCTCTCCTGGCAGCTGTTTGACGCGAAACACCCACTTCCCTTTCACCACGTTCGTAGAGGAGGGAGGGCGAGGCACATCAACGAAGGAGGAGTTGGCGACAAAGGCCTCCAGCTCCTTGATAATGGCGGCGAGCCAGAGTGGGGCGTCGGGGCAAGCCATGGCCTCCTCATACGTGGTAGGGATGAAAACGGAGGGAGCAGAGGAGAATGCGAATACTGGTGTCCCAGAAAGGTCGAAGGTGATGGGTAGAAGGGAAGGGTCACAGAGGTGGAGGTCAAGGAACTCCTCATGCGAGTCCTCGGAGAGGGAGGTGTGGAAGGAGCGGATGACCGTTGGTGCCGCTGGTGCCGCTGCACGTGCCGCTGCACGTGCCGCTGCTGGTGCCGCTGCTGGTGCCGCTGCTGGTGCCGCTGCTGGTGCCGCTGCTGGTGCCGCTGCTGGTGCCGCTGCTGGTGCCGCTGCTGGTGCCGCTGCTGGTGCCGCTGCTGGTGCCGCTGCTAGTGCCGCTGCTGGTGCCGCTGCTGGTGCCGCTGCTAGTGCCGCTGCTGGTCCCGCTGCTGGTGCCGCTGCTGGTCCCGCTGCTGGTCCTGCTGCTGGTGCCGCTGCTGGTCCTGCTGCAGGTGCCGCTGCTGGTCCTGCTGCTGGTGCCGCTGCGGGTGCCGTTGCGGACGCTGCTGCTGGCGCCGCTGCTGGAGAGGTGGCAGAGGGGGCTGCTGCAGGAGGAGGTTGATGCAGAACAGCCTGGGAGAAGTGGTGAAGGAGAGGGGAGAGTGGGGGGAGGGTAGAGGTAGAGAGGGTAACAGGGGGCGGTGCACCAAGGATACAGTCACGTGACCTGGTATGGGGGTACCGGGTAAGTACGGTGCGGGGAGGGGGGGAAGGACGAGTCGGCGGCGAGGGAGGTGAAGGAGGCGCGGGAGGGGCACTAGGAGAGGAATGTGTGGGGGAGACGGGAGAGGACAGAGGTTCCGGGTCAAATATATGACCAGACGAGGGAGGGGCACCGTGGGATGGGGACGACGGTGGGGGGGGGGGGAGGGAGGATGGGGGGAGGAGGAAGTAGTGGGGGAGGGGTGGTGTCAGACCAGACAAGGGGACGGGGAAGACGGGGGAGTGGGTCAGTGGATGGGGGAGAGGAGTAGTAGGGAGTGGACTCATCAAAGACCACATCCCTACTGCGGAATAGACGACCTGAGGGGGGATGGAGGAAAAGGTAGTCAGGTGAGGAGGAGTAATGACCGAGAAAGATGCAGGGAAGGGTACGAGGGGCAAGCTTTCCCATAGAGCGGGAGCAGTCAGTGGGGTGAAGGAGAACATAAGCCTTTGAGCCCCAGACACGAAGAGACGAGACATCAGGTTTGTTGTTCGTCCACAGCTCAGGGGGGTGGTGGATGGGAGAAGAGGGTGAGGGTAAAGGTTAGTAAGGAGGGCGGCATGAAGGAGGGCGTAGCCCCACAGAGAAGGAGGGCAGGAGGCGTGGACAAGAAGACACCGGGCAGTTTTGGTGATCTCTCGAACACGACTTTCAGCCACACCGTTCTGCTGTGGGGAGTGAGGGAGGGTGTAAGTCTGAAGAATGCCATGAGACTGACAGTAGGAGGATATTTGGTTGTTAAGGAACTCACCACCACCATCAGAGTGAAGGCGGCGAACAGGGCGCCCAAAATGGGTATTTGCCCGCTCGAGCCAGGCGATGATCGCAGCCGGGGCATCTGCCTTCGTCCGAAGGAGAGAGACGGACGAGTAGCGACTGTGATCATCGACGAGTACGAGGAGGTATCGATGGCCCTGGCGAGTGGGAGAGGGATTGGGGCCCCAGAGGTCCATGTGAACAAGATCAAGTGGCTGCGCAGCAGCGGAGGGGGAGCTCCGGTGCGGCTGCTGCTTGAGCTTGCTCTGAACGCAGACGGTGCAGGGGGGGGCAGGGGATTTGGGGAGGGGAGGGAGGGAGGAGGGGAGACCGTGGAGGAGACCGGTGGAAACAGAGGAGCGTAGAGTAGCGAAGTTAGGGTGACCTAGCCTGTGATGGAGGAGGACGGCAGGGTGGGAGAGGTGTTAGAATCCCTCTTCTCTTGTAACCTGCATATATGCTATAGGTTAGGCTAGAGTTAAGCACCCAAACTTAGTTTGGGTGTACAAACAGGGGTAACCTAGTTTGTAGGTTGGAACCCAACCTTGGTCCAATTATTGGACCCCAAAAGATTGGGTTGGGTAGAATTATTGGCCCCCTCCAATAATGTTGGCCCAACCCCAACTTGGCCAACATTATTGGACCCCACCAATAATCTCCCAACCCAACCTCTTGGTTAGGGTCCAATAATGGCACCTTAGGCTAGCATCCAACCCCACTACTATGTATACCCCCCTGTTTCTCTATCATATCATCAACTACATTTCAACATCTCTTCTCACAAGAGGGAGCGACAGGAGCAAGAGGAGTCAAAGGGGGGGGCGGGAAGGGAGGTCCAGGTTAGTGGGAGGGAGAGGAGGAGGTGGGATGAGAGGGTCGAGGGGGGGACGAGAGATGACCTGACAGGAGGGGAGGCGAGGAACCCGAAGGGTGTACAGACGGGAGCGAGGGCAAAAGGGAATGCGAGAAAGGAACTGACCGGTGGCGGAATGGTAGAGAGCGCAATAGTTAGCATGAGCTGGGAATACTGTGGTGATACCGGCTTGCTGAAGGGACCTTTGCGAAAGGAGATTAGCGCGAAGAGAGGGTATGTGGAGACCGGTGACAGTGCCTGAGGGGAAGAGTGGGCAGGGGAGAGTCGAGGTGTTATGGCAGGGGATAGAGAAGCTGCTGTCGGCACCAAGGAGGGAGGTAGGCGTTGGGAGGGGGCGCAAGGTGCCAGCATCGCGAAGAACCGTGTCAGTGGCGCCGCTGTCGAGGACAAAATCGACAGTGGAGGAGAGGGAGGAGGAAGGGACAGAGGACTGGAACGCGGTTTCGTTAGTGCTAGAGGAGTATGTGGCAGGTGCAGTTGATGTGGCTTGATTGACCATACCAGCGATACCAACGGATGAGAAAGGTGGGACGATGCTTGAAGTGGCGGAGCTTGTGGAACAATGCGGAACTGAGTTCTGCTGGGAAGTTGGGGGAGGAGGAGGAAGAGGCAGCTGCGGTTGTAGGTCAAGGTGCTGCTGCAGGCGGTGGAGCAACTGCTGGAGCTGGAGGAGGAGGTGCCAGAGCTGCTGCTGGTGCTGCTGTTGCTGCGGTTGCTGCTGTTGCTGCTGCTGCTGTTGCTGCGGAGGAGGAGGAGGAGGAGGAGGAGGAGGAGGAGGAGGAGGAGGAGGAGGAGGAGGAGGAGGAGGAGGAGGAGGAGGAGGAGGAGGAGGAGGAGGAGGAGGAGGAGGAGGCTGAGGTAGAGAGAAGGGTTGACTCGGGGCATGGTGGGCTTGGGTGGAGAGTTTACACTGAAGTCCTCGAGTCGGGCCATAGCGAGGCACATATTCACGAGGAGAGAAGGCTGCTGCTGCGCCGCAGCCTGCGCTCAAACCTCTGACACCACAATATCCTGCGAGTCTCCCTTGACCACCACCACAGCTGCCACTATGCCCTCCTCCATGCCCACCGGCACCACTGCTGATGCATGCCAGCGCGACTGTTGCCGTGGGGGAAGCAATGTGGGGTGTGGGCGGTCACGGCATGGCGCAGGCGAGCAGGGCATGAAGGTGTGCGCAGGCAGCTGACGGTATGCGTAGGCGGGTGTGCTGTATGTGCTCCCAGGTGTGCGGTATGTGCTGTCAGGTGTGCGGTATGTGCTGTCAGGCGTGCGGTATGTGCTGTCAGGTGTGCGGTATGTGCTGTCAGGTGTGCGGTATGTGCTGTCAGATGTGCTGTATGCGCGCGCGTGCAGATGTGTTGTATGCCAGGGAGGTGGGCAGGGGGTGGACGAGGGGAGGGGGACAGCGAGCGGGGAAGGAGGGCGTGCAACGAGTGCGCGGACGGGGAGAGTGTGGACGACCGGAGCGCGGACGAGCAGGGCGTGCAGACGAACAGGGCGCGCGGACGGCCAGGGTGCGGATGACTAGGGCGCGCGGACGGGCAGGGCGCGGACGCGAAGGGCGGATGAGCAGGGCGTGCGGACGGGCAGGGCGCGGACGAGCAGGGCGTGCGGACGGGCAGGGCGGGGACGCGAAGGGCGGACGAGCAGAGCGCGGACGACCAGGGCGCGTGGTCGGACTAGCAAGGGCGTGCGAGTTGCAGATCTGAGCACGCGGAATGCAGATTTGGGCGCGGGAGAGTAGATCTGAGTGCGGAATGTGCAGATCTGAGCGCGAAATGCGCAGATCTGAGGGCAGGAGGAGTAGAGCAGGGCGCGGGAGGAGTAGATCTGAGCTCGGGAGGAGGAGGTGTGAGCTCGGGAGGAGTAGATCTGAGCTCGGGAGGAGTAGATCTGAGCTCGGGAGGAGTAGATCTGAGCTGGGGAGGAGTAGATCTGAGCTCGGGAGGAGTAATTCTGAGCTCGGGAGGAGGAGATGGGAGCTCGGGAGGAGTAGATCTGAGCTCGGGAGGAGTAAATCTGAGCTCGGGAGGAGTAGATCTGAGCTAGGGAGGAGTAAATCTGAGCTCGGGAGGAGTAGATCTGAGCTGGGGAGGAGTAGATCGGAGCTCGGGAGGAGGAGATGTGAGCTCGGGAGGAGTGAATCTGAGCTTGGGAGCACCGTAGTAGGACTACGTCTGAGGGACGGGGAGGAGAGGGTGGCCTAAGGACCGAGGGATCAAGGCGTGAGCCAATAGCTCTGATACCATGTTAGAAAGCTAGAATTGATACATTGAATAATGAGCCAAGAGGCTCTTTAGTACAAACAATGAGCAAGAGAGAGATGAGAGGGAAGCTTACCCTATTGGCCAATAAGTTGGCCAATGGGTGAGCTTGCTTGTGACCCAAGCAACCACAAATGTGTGTTGGTTGGGATTGGTTGAGCTAAGGACCAATCCCAACCAACCACAAAATGTGGTTGGAGGGTACACTAAGCAACCCCCTAATTTATAAATGTGCTACACTTCTAGCCTATGTATGTTGTATGAAATATGAAATTACAACATGGAGCCCACCTGTGCATGGAGCCCACCGGTGCATGGAGCCCACCTGTGCATGGAGCCCACCTGTGCATGGAGCCCACCTGTGGATGGAGCCCACCTGTGCATGGAGCCCACCTGTGGATGGAGCCCACCTGTGCATGGAGCCCACCTGTGGATGGAGCCCACCTGTGGATGGAGCCCACCTGTGGATGGAGCCCACCTGTGCATGGAGCCCACCTAGGGATGAGCAAATGGCGAACACGAACATGTTCGTGTTCGCCTGGGCTCGAACATGGCTGTTCAGCGAACCGAACACTGTTCGGTTCGCCGAACACTTTACACCAGAAAGGGTGTTCGAAGTTCGCCAAGAGAGGCGAACATTTCGTACGTTTTGGCGAACACAAACACATTCGCCCAGAACATGTTCGCGTTCGCCTTAAAGGACCTTCTCAGATCCAAGTAGAGTGAAATCCAAATGTTTCACATTCCCTCCCCCCACCCCGCAAGCCAGTCCCGCCCTGCTAGAACCGCCCATGCTAGATCTACGCTTAAGCAACGGCAAAATGCTAGATCTACGCTTAAGCAACGGCGAAATGCTAGATCTGAGCTTAAGCAACGGCGAAATGCTAGATCTGAGCTTAAGCAACGGCGAAATGCTTGATCCGCACTTAAGCAACAGCGAATGCTAGATCTACGCTTAAGCAACGGCGAAATGCTAGATCTACGCTTAAGCAACGGCGAAATGCTAGATCTACGCTTAAGCAAAGGCGAAATGCTAGATCTGAGCTTAAGCAACGGCGAAATGCCTTGATCCGCACTTAAGCAACGGCAAAAGGCCTTGATCCGCACTTAAGCAACGGCAAAAGGCCTTGATCTGAGCCCAAACACCAAGGCCCGCGCCCTAAAAATTGGTCGCGGGCCTATTCGTCGACGAACACATTGGCGTTCGTCGAAGGCCCGTGTCGATCACGAACACGTTCGTGTTCGTCGCGCCTCGGCCAGCTGAGCCGGGCGAACGGCGAACGTGTTCGGGCGAACACCGAACACGTTCGCCCCGAACAATTTAGGCCAAAAAAAAATCACGTTCGAGGCGAACCGAACAGGTGTTCGTCATATTGCTCATCCCTAAGCCCACCTGTGCATGGAGCCCACCTGTGGATGGAGCCCACCTGTGCATGGAGCCCACCTGTGCATGGAGCCCACCTAGGGATGAGCAATATGACGAACTCCTGTTCGGTTCGCCTCGAATTTTTTTGGCCAAAATTGTTCGGGGCGAAAGTGTTCGGTGTTCGCCCGAACACGTTCGCCGTTCGCCCGGCTCAGCTCGCCGAGGCGCGTCGAACACGAACGTGTTCGTGTTCGACACGGGCCTTCGACAAACACCAATGTGTTCGTCGACAAATAGGCCCGCGACCAATTTTTAGGTCGCGGGCCTTGGTGTTTGGGCTCAGATCTGACCTTTCGCAGTTAGTAAAGTGCAGATCTAGCATTTCGCCATTGCTTAAGTGCAGATCAAGCATTCCGCCGTTGCTTAAGTGCGGATCGAGCATTTCGCCGTTGTTTAAGTGCGAATCGAGCATTTCGCCGTTGCTTAAGTGCGGATCGAGCATTTCACCGTTGCTTAAGTGCGGATCTAGCATTTCGCCGTTGCTTAAGTGCGGCTCGAGCATTTCGCCGTTGCTTAAGTGCAGATCTAGCATTTCGCCGTTGCTTAAGTGCGGATCTAGCATTTCGCCGCTACTTAAGTGCGGATCTAGCATTTCGCCATTGCACGCTGGCACTAGATGGATGAAGCAGGGCGGGACTGGCTTGGGAGGTGGGGGGAGAGAATGTGCGACGATTTGAATTTTACTCTATATTGAATTTCCCCCTGGGCGAACACGAACATGTTCGCCACGAACATGTTCGTGTTCGCCTGTTGCAGCAATTCGTTCGCCTCCTAGGGCGAACGGCGAACACCTATTTTCACTCAAGTCGTTCGCCGAACCGAACACTGTTCGGTTCGGCAGAAGGCCATGTTCGTCAGGGGGCGAACACGAACATGTTCGAGTTCGCCCCCTGCTCATGCCTAAGCCCACCTGTGGATGGAACCCACCTGTGCATGGAGCCCACCTGTGCATGGAGCCCACCTGTGCATGGAGCCCACCTGTGCATGGAGCCCACCTGTGGATGGAGCCCACCTGTGCATGGAGCCCACCTGTGCATGGAGCCCACCTGTGCATGGAACCCACCTGTGGATGGAGCCCACCTGTGCATGGAGCCCACCTGTGGATGGAGCCCACCTGTGCATGGAGCCCACCTGTGCATGGAGCCCACCTGTGGATGGAGCCCACCTGTGCATGGAGCCCACCTGTGGATGGAGCCCACCTGTGGATGGAGCCCACCTGTGGATGGAGCCCACCTGTGGATGGAGCCCACCTGTGCATGGAGCCCACCTGTGCATGGAGCCCACCTGTGCATGGAGCCCACCTGTGCATGGAGCCCACCTGTGCATGGAGCCCACCTATGGATGGAGCCCACCTGTGCATGGAGCCCACCTGTGCATGGAGCCCACCTGTGCATGGAGCCCACCTGTGGATGGAGCCCACCTGTGGATGGAGCCCACCTGTGGATGGAGCCCACCTGTGCATGGAGCCCACCTGTGCATGGAGCCCACCTGTGGATGGAGCCCACCTGTGGATGGAGTCCACCTGTGCATGGAGCCCACCTGTGCATGGAGCCCACCTGTGGATGGAGCCCACCTGTGGATGGAGCCCACCTGTGGATGGAGCCGCCCGACACGAATTCGAGGAAGATGTAGATGGAGCCGTCAGCCTCGTGCTTCTCCATGTCGATGTACCCCACGATGTGGCGGTGCCGCATCTTCTTGTATAGCACGATCTCGCGCTCCAGCGCTGCGATGAGCATCGCCTTCTCGTCGCCCTGCGATGTCATCTTGATCTCCTTCACCGCCATCAGCTCGCCCGTCATCTCGTTCAGCCCCAGAAACACCTGTCCGCCCCACCGCACCACACCACACCGCAGCGCAACGCAACGCAAATTCATTTTAACTCTTTCGGAGATCGTGTTTCCTCAGTCTCTAAACGATTTCGTTCCTATTTCTGACAGACTCGTCAGCCGTTGGTCACAAGGTCACTACCATGCAGGCAACCACGGTGCACTCACCTTGCCGTATGCACTCACCTTGTCGTATGCACTCACCTTGCCGTGTGCACTCACCTTGCCGCATGCACTCACCTTGCCGTATGCCCTCACCTTGCCGTATGCCCTCACCTTGCCGTATGCACTCACCTTGCCGTATGCCCTCACCTTGCCGTATGCACTCACCTTGCCGTATGCCCTCACCTTGCCGTATGCCCTCACCTTGCCGTGTGCACTCACCTTGCCGTATGCACTCACCTTGCCGTATGCACTCACCTTGCCGTATGCACTCACCTTGCCGTGTGCACTCACCTTGCCGTATGCACTCACCTTGCCGTATGCCCTCACCTTGCCGTATGCACTCACCTTGCCGTATGCCCTCACCTTGCCGTATGCCCTCACCTTGCCGTGTGCACTCACCTTGCCGTATGCACTCACCTTGCCGTATGCACTCACCTTGCCGTATGCCCTCACCTTGCCGTATGCCCTCACCTTGCCGTGTGCACTCACCTTGCCGTATGCACTCATCTTGCCGTATGCCCTCACCTTGCCGTATGCCCCTTCGCCCAGCATCTCGCCCTTCTTCCACTTGAACGACGCTGCTCCACACGCCGCCTCCCCACCATCCGGCGCAGAGGCAGCGGTGGGAGTAGAGGAGGAAGGGGTGAGTGGGGAGGTGGGAGCAGCGGCCGTGGGAGAGGCAGCGGGGTCGGTGCTTTTGGATTCGAGGGCAGGGGAGGCCGGAGCAGCTCCTTCCCTTTTGCCTGCACTAGATGCTTCGTCCCCACTCCCTTCCACATGGCCCTCCCGTGCATCCGCGCCCTCCCGTGCATCCGCGCCCTCCCGTGCCTCCACGGGTTTGGGAGAGAGGGGCGGCCGCACTGCACCCTTCTTCTCCCCTTCGCCGCCCCTCCCCGCCTTCCCCTCCGCTGATGCTTCCCTCCCTCCCTGCTCTCCCCCACTTGCCTCCTCCCCACTGCCACTCTTCTCCACCCCATTCGCTGCACCCGGACTCTCCCCATGTGCTGAGTCGCTGGGCGGGCTGCTGCCATGAGCGGGCAGTGAGAACTTCACCGACTTGCGTGCACGCGTGGCTTGAGTGGCGGAGGCGGGGTGAGCAGCTTGGGAGGGAGATGGAGACGCGCCTGTCACAGCAGCAGCAGCAACAGCAGCAGCTGTGCCGCTGCCCTCGCTGCCCTCAACGCCAGCACTCGAGGCAGCAGCACCACCGCCACCACTACTGCTGCTAGCACCAGTGCCCCCAGCAGAAGCGGGTGCAGCAGCGCGGGCAGCAGCGCCACGTGTGCTGCCAGCTCTCTCTCCTTTGCCTCCTGCACTGCCAGGCCTCTCCGCCCTCCCCCCTGCACTGCCAGGCCTCTCCGCCCTCCCCCCTGCGCTGCCAGGCCTCTCCCCTTTGCCCCTCGCACCTGCCCCTGCCGCTGCTGGTGCTGGCGAGGCACCCTCTGCCCACCCTGACGCCTCCCCGCTACCACCCGGCACACCGGAGCCAAGGCGGCGCAGGGAGGAGGGGGTGGGCCGAGGGCCCCTGGCGGCGTGCAAGCTCTCATCGTCCGTCACCACCTCCCTGCCGCCAACGCGCTGCCCACCCCCTCCCCCCGCTGCTCCTGCCGCACCCTCTTCTGCCCCTGCTGCACCCGCCCCTCCCCTGCTGCTGTGTGACGCAATGCTGTCAGGCGGAGGGGACGCGGACGGCACAGCGGCGCCGGGTGCAGAGGAGCGGAGGCCCGGGCGGCGTTGCTGGCGAGCGCGCAGAGATACCTCCGTGTCGCTGCACGGCCAGTCACCCCCCTCCCCACCTTGCTGCTGCCGCCGCGGCCCTTCGCCCTGGCCCCCCTTGCCGTGCTGCTGCTGCCTGCCCTCTCCCCCGCTGCCACTGCCACTGCCCGGCCTGCCACGGCCTTCCAGTGCGAGGCGCCGCACGTGGGGGACGGACGACGGCGGCGAGCTGCCAGAAGGGGACGTCAGCGGCGAGGAGGCCCCCGCCAGGGGGGAGCGCGGGCCGCCTGACGCTGACGCGTCCCCCACGGCGTCACTGCTGCCCACCCGCCTCACTCCACCTGACCCCTGCCCTCCCCTCCCACCCGCCCCAGCACCACCAGCAGCAGCACCGCCAGCACTAGCGGCAGCAGCAGGCGGTGGGTCAGTTGCGCCCAGGCGCGTGGGTGGTGGTGCGGCTCTCCCCCCCGCCCTCTCCTCCTGCGACGTGCCCCTCCCCACCACCCGCCTGCCCGCCCCCCTCGCTGCGTCCCTGCGCCCCGCGCCCCCATGCTCGCCCCCATGCTCGCCCCCATGCTCGCCCCCATGCTCGCCGCGGTCACTCTCCGACTGAGACGACTCCGCCATCCATCCCTCTGCACCCTCCCCACTCACCATATCCCCGCTGCTGCCCTCTCTCTCCTTCCCACTTCCCCCTCTCTCCTTCCCACTTCCCAATCTTTCCTTTCCACTTCCCTCTCTCTCCTTCCCACTGCCTTCTCTCTCCCTCGCTCTGTTTTTATCCAACCCCCCAGGCTGTGCTGCGCGTCCTCCTCCCTCCGCGCACCTGTCTCCTCCGCCATCACTCCCGCACTTCTCACCCCCATGCCTCTCCTCATCTCCCGGACTCACCACCCCTCTCTGCTGCTGCTGCTGCTGCTGCTGCTGCACGCCCTGTCTGCTGTTGCCAGAGGGGCTTTTCATGCCACTGTCACCGCGCACAGCTACCTCGCCACCCATGCCACCGCGCTCCACCGCATCGCCTGCACTCATGGCCTGCGCACTCAGAGACTGTGTGCGCACCATCCCTCCCCGCCGACCCCCAACCTCCGCCCCTCTCCCTCGCCCCTCTGCCCCACCCCTCCCCCCGCCACCCCCCCTGGCCGTGCCACCAGCGCCCCTGCCAGCGGCCCGCCCCAGGCGTGACTCGCCCGCACCGCCGCCGTCGCTCACCATGCCACCCACACTGCTGCTCCCCGGTACTCTCGCCCGCCGCAACCGCACTGCACCGCCTTCCACATCTGACATCACCTCGCCATGCCCCACCACCAGCCCCCCTCCCACTCCCCCTACCCCTCTCCCCGCTGCCCTCCCTCCCCCCCCTCTACCCCCCCCCTCGCCCCCCTCGCCACTGCCCCCATGGCGCCTGCCCACCCCTGCCCCCGCCGCCACCGCCCTGTCAGCAGCGCCATCCAGCGCGCGCCCCGCCAGGCTGCCCCCAACCCTCCTCCCTGCCACGCCCATCCCTCCCCCTCCACCCGCCCCTCTGAGCCCTCCCACCACCCCAACGCCGCCTGCACTCCCCACTCTGCCAGCGGTGCTGTCCGCCTCTGCAGTGTGGCGGGTGGGGGAGGCAGCGGAGCGCGAGGACGGCAGTGGCGAGGGCGAGAGGGCGGGGGACGCGGCGGGGCTGTCAGTGCCGCCCACGCGGCGGGCGCCCTCCCACGCCGCCGTGAAGGCCTGCTCCTGGCCCTCCGGGGGGGTGGGGCTGTGCGCACGCTGCCCGGGCAGCCCGTGGCTGCGAGTGGGGCTGCGGAAGCTCATGGTGCGCGCGGGCAGCCCCGTGGGCTGTCCAACGGCGGACGAGAAGGCGGAGGGCGGCGCCGCATGGTGGTGGGCGGCGGGGCGCAGGCGGTCGCGCGAGGGGCTGCGGAAGGACATGGAGCGGGCAGGCAGGGAGGTGGGGTGCGCAGAGAGGGGCGAGATGGACGCAGAGGGGGACGGGTGCGAGGGGCGTGTGTCGCGGGAGGGGCTCTGGAAGCTCATGGTGCGATTCTTGGCCAGCAGCCAGTCCGCGCGCGATGGCGGCGCTGCCACCGACGCAGACAGCGGGAAGGCGTCCACCCCGCGCGCACCCGATGCACCACCCTGCCCCTCCCGCCTCGCCCGCCCACCCTCCCCGTGCCCCAGGGCCCCCCCTGGCAGCCCTGTGTGGGCGGAGGCGGCGGTGTCCTCCAGGCCGCCCTCCCAGTGCTGCCCACCACCCTCCCCCCCGCCGCTGTTGCTGCCCGTGTGGTCCGCATGAGCCCCAACCCCTCCGGTGGAGCGCAGGTGGTACTCGTGCAGCTTGCGGAAGAGCGCCCGGATGCGCTCCGACGCCGTGAGCTGCTGCGCCACGAGCCCGTCACTGTTGCGCGCATACATGTTGGCGCCCGCCACGAGCAGCAGCTTTATTATCCCCCTGGTGGGCGCGCGGTGGGCACATGGGAGGTGGGGGGCGAGAGTGACGGAGAGAGGGCGAGACATGGCAGGATTGCGGGTACAAGGAGAGTGCAGTTGGAGGGAAGGGAGCAGAGAGCTGTGAAGGGAAGCGGGAAGACAAGGGCGGATGGGGAAAAGGATTGGTGAGGGTGAAGACGAGGAGCTGATTGGCACACTCGGCCCCACGGCAGATGGGCACAGGAGGGAGGGAGGGGCCGTGACAGCACAGGAGGGAGGGAGGGGCCGTGACAGCAGATAAGTGCACAAGATGAGCAGCACTATGGCATAGGCGGCACAATGGCATAGGCGGCACAATGGCACAGGCGGCACAATGGCACAGGCGCATACTGCATTCTCCACAGCTTCTCTTTCCCCACTTCATTCCCACCCTCATAACCGCCCTCATCACTTTCCACCCCCTATGCTGTAGCCCCACCCACCACACAGCTGTGGACATATGCGCACTTGTGCCCCCACCACACACACACACACACACACACACACACACACACACACACACACACACACACACACCTGTGGCCGGTGCTGCAGGCGTAGTGCAGTGCAGAGCAGCGGTGGGCGTCGGTGGCGTTGATGTCCGCCCCGTTGGTGAGCAGCAGCCGCACCAACTCCTCACTGCCCGCCTGCACCGCCCACAGCAGCGGCGGCGAGAAACCCTCCTGCTGCCACTCCAGCAGGGTGGGTGGGAGGGACGCGGTGAGGGGTGGGGGTGAATGAAGCAGAGCACTGGTGCGCACGGGGAGACAGGGCGATGGGGGACCCATGCACTGCACTCACACCAGGCACATCTCAGCCCACGGCCGAGTGAGTTTGCATTTCTCAAGCAGCAGAGTTGAGTCACTCAATGGGGCACACACACACAGGTGAAACGCACGCAGCAGCAAGGGCAGACCGGGAGCAGGGCAGAGGGCAGAGGGCACAGGGCAGAGGGCACAGGGCAGAGGGCAGAGGGCACAGGGCAGAGGGCACAGGGCAGAGGGCACAGGGCACAGGGCACAGGGCAGAGGGCACAGGGCAGAGGGCAGAATGGTTAGGTGCGTGTGGTACCTGAGGTGCGTGTGGTACCTGAGGTGGGGTGCCCCCATCGGGGTCGGCCCCCCACTCGAGCAGCACTGCCGCTGCGTCCACACTGCCCGCCACCACCGCCTCGTGCAGCACCGTGCGCCCCGTGCCTGCCGGGGGCGGGAGAGAGGCGCGCGGATGGGCCACAAGGCACAGCAGTCACAACAGGTGAGGCCACACATGGAGGTGCGGACACGGGACATGGGACATGGGACATGGGACATGGTCGTTGAGTTAGCATGAGCCAAAACGTGCCAGGTTAGGCTCAACAATGAACATACCGGCGTACTGAGCCTATGGGCCGTACTGGAGGCGTTCAAGTCACTCCGTTGCTGAGCTGAGAGATCGCACAAGTTGAGCTGCCGCTACAACTTTCAGTGAGATGGCAAGGGGAGGACCCACCGGGGTGCAGCGCGGAGAGCAGCGGGTGGCGCGAGGGGGCGTCCTGCAGGATGGCGTGCACGAGGTCCGCATCGTTGCTGCGCGCCGCCTCGCCCAGCCGCAACACGCGCTTCAGATTGATGCCCTCGCCAACACCCCCGCCCCCGCCCCCATTCTCCCGCCCATACGGCCTGGCGAGCCCAAGCGCCCCCCCCATCGCCATGTCAGCGTCCATGTCCGCGCCCCTCTCCCGCGCCCCCCCCCGCCCCGCACCATCGCGGCCCAACCCCATGGCGCCGTGGCGCAGGTCCAACAGGTCGTCTGAGTCAAAGAGGCCACTGCCGTTCACTGCCAGGCTGTTGACACGTGGCAGCACAGCATTGGTGGCGAGCATGTCGGTGTCATCGAAGCCTGATGACTGCAGGGGAGGAGGTGCGAGGGAGAGAGGGGAGGGTTGGGACAGCACAGGGTAGAGAGGAGGCAGGGTGAGGGGCACACGCACACATGCTGGCTCGTCTCTCTGCCGGCACAGCTGAGCCAAGGCAACGCGGCCCCTCTCACACGCACTCACTCCCATGATGTCCACCATGCAACCTTTGCTCCTTGCTTCACTTGCTCATACCTATCCTCTCGCCACACTCACAGACCCCTCGCTACAGTCACGTCACGGCCACCCACAGTTCGGTCCAGGCCGAGCCATTGCGCGCCCAGCAAGTGCCGCCCGCCGCCCGCCCCACTGCTACTGCTGCTGCTCAGGTCAGCGGCCTGGTGGCTCAGCGTGCGCGCCCACACCCTGCTGCCGCCCCCGCCACTTCTGCTCGCGCCCACGCCCATACCGCCGTGCCCTCCCACCCCTCCGCTCCCGCTCCCCTGCACCCCGCGCGCCCCCCCTTCGAACGAGCCCCCCATGGCCAAGCCTCCCCCCAGCCTGCCCCGGCCCTCATGCCGCCGTCCGCCTTCCCCCAGCGCCCCAAATTCCCCCCTCTCCGCGTCCAGCGCCAGGCTCCCCGCGTGCAGATGCCCCACGTCCCGCCCCGCCACCTGCGCGTGCCCCCGCAAGCCGCCCCGCACGTCCTCCACGCCCTCGTCGAAAAAGTCCCCCAGCGGGCCTCCGCCAAGCACGCCGTCGTGCGGCGAGAGGCCGTGCGGGGAGAGGCTGTGCGGCGAAAGGCTCAGCCCCGCGGCGACGGCGCGCTGGTGCTGCGCGTCCTGCGCGAAACGCGCCGCTCCCCCTCCCCCGTCGTCGCGCAGGCCGTGTCTCTGCGGGCGGAGCGACGAGGTGGGCCCCGCCTGGTACGACACGTGGCGGGGGGCACTCGCGCCGTGCTGCTGCTGCTGGTGGGGATGCGCGTGGCGCGGGGAGTGGTGGCGGTGGCGCGGGAGCGACGCGGGCGGGGTGGCGGCGTGGTGGAGGAGGTCGTCTGAGTCGAGCGAGTCGTACGCCGCGCGGAGGGCGGCGGGGACGGCGCTGCTGTGGCTCCGGGGGAAGTTGTACGGAAAGTCGCGGGAGGGGCTCACGTCGCCGTCGCCGTCGAGTGTGGCGACGGGGAACGTGCCCGACCGGTGCATGGCGACGCGCGGGGCGAAAGCGAATCAAATGCGCGTCAGGTGGGGGCGAGTGGCGGCATGGCGGCGGAAGAGAATCCCGCCACCCGCGCCTGCCGTTCCCCCTCCCTCACTCGCCGCCCGCGCGCCGCACTGCGGACCCACCGCCGAGGTACCGGCGCCGCCAGCTGTCGCGTGGTCGGCCGGCGGCAGGAGAAAAGTGCGGCGCAGCAGTGGAGAAAAGGGCTCGAGCGCGGTTCTCTAGATCGCAAGTATTGAGAAATTCCGCGTGCGGAGACGACACAGAGCTTGTTGATAAGGGTGACTGCACGAATCCTACAGAAGCAACTCGCTTGTGCTGGCGACACGAGGACCAGTTGGCAAAAGCGACGTACAAGACGAGAAAGTGACGGGAGATAAATGAAGAGCTGTGTGTGCAAGTGGTGCGCGAAAGAGCAGAGCAGCGCGCAGCAAGCGGAGGAGGGCAAAGGGCTGGGGTGGGAGCTGCGGGCAGCGAGCGGCGAGGAAACAGCGTTGGCAGGAGCTACAGTGGTGCAGCTTAGGGTTCGCGACAGAACATGGGGTTCGTTTCTGGCGAACGTGAGATAGGGCTTCTGTTACGGGTGAAATTGAACGAACAGGCGAGGATTGCACTAAAGGGGCGGGAGTATAACACGAGAGTGTAGGAAAGTTCTTAGATTCCTTACCGCATGCCACCACAACCAGGGCTTATTTTATCAGTGTAAATCAGCCTGATACCCTGATTATCAGGGTGGTTTTTGGTAGTCACACTGATGGCCTAGGGTAATTTATTTTTGAGCTAGGATTTTCCTGATATGCCAGAATTTACATTTAAGGCACACTGATGCCTCAGGGTTACCGATCTTCATGACGAAATTTACCCTGAAGTGAGTACCATATCCCCCCTCCCCCCCTCCCCCCCCCCCCCCCCCCCCCCCCCCACTTCCCCCACCCCCCCTGTCCTGTAACCCGGGATTCTCGGTTGCCAACTGGTCGAAACCAGAATTTCAGCCTCGACAATACATGTCCCGCGTGCCCCGCGTGAGGCCACCGTAACCAAAGGCCCCATTACGGGGCACTGGTTACGGAGGCCCACGTGCAATTACGGACCGTTTTACCTCGACAATACATGTGCTGGCACGAAGTGGGCCACCATTGGCCAGAAACACCAGAGTTTGAAAAACTGTTACACTGATGCCACAGAGTTGGATTTTCAAAAACAAGAAAAACACTAATGGATCAGGGTTTGAACAAGGTGTCACATTGATAATCAGGTTTTTGAACAGGTGCAACACCGATCACAAGGGTTGCTCAAAACCAAAAACTAGCCCTGACCACAACGTGTATACTGCTCGACAATTGCCCGTTGCAGCCCCTGAAGTTCTGCCAGGCAAACTGAGTTAGAGCGTCTCAACTCAGACGTCCAAATGAGTGTTTGTCTAAACGTACTGTGCCATACTTGAAGCCCACGCCTAAAATGGCAAGGGTTCATAAATACTGAACTTGAATAGGGTTGCGCGAAGGTTGACGAGAGAAAAAATCGCCGGAGGAAGGCGGCGGAGGCGGAATGCCCTACAGTGTATCGCAACTTCAACTTCAACTTCCGAAACCTTGAACAAAAACAAACGACAAAACTAAACCCAACCACTCTCGCACAGCTCACTGTCAGAATAATATATAAATCTATATATTGTTTTGTAATTGCCTGTAGTGTAGACTAGTGTAGTTATATAATGTTCTGTTTTGGTGGTGCACCTTTCATCTTGCCTATATGTACTGCTCGCTCTATAGTGAAACCACTCCTCTTCTCTTTTCAACTTTCTCGACTCTCCTAACTCAAACTCACTCGAACTTCTCACTAGCTATGGCTCCTTAGCCAAGCTAAGATTATGACATGGTATCAGAGCGGTCTCGGGTTCGAATCCCGGTGTATGCACATGTTGGCCGTTGCCATTGTGCTAAGTCCTGGGCCTCCCAGTGTGGGGGGGTGTCAGTAGAGCTACACTGTGAGATCCCCGATTTATCCTAGGGGGGGTTACAGGCGCGGTTGCCTGGGGGGTTATGGGCGCACTGACCCGCTACTGAAACAAGCCCTTTTATCCCAATGGTCTAGTGGTTGAGATTCTGACATGCTATCAGAGTGACAAGGTCCTGACCTGTGGGCCCCACTTTAATGCTTCCGCTGCTACTGAGTGTCCTGCACGCCCCGTGGTGTGCCCTACTGTCGCGGCCTCGCCGCCTCTCTACTGTCGCGGCCCCGCCGCCCTACGTCGCGGTCTCGCCGCCCTTCACTGCGGCCTCGCCGCCCGTGCGCCGACGTCTGCGAAGCCGCCGCCCGTGAGCCGCCGCCCGTGAACCGCCAGTGGCCCGCCCGTGCGCCGACCGCCTGTGCGCCGCCCGTCCGTGAGCCGACGCCGCCCGTGAGCCGCCCACCCGCGCGCAGCCCGACACCAGCCGGCGCCGCCCGTGAGCCGCCCGCCCGTGCGCCACCAGCCTGCCCGTGAGCCGCTGGCGCCGCCCGTGCGCCGCCCGTCCGTGAGCCGCCCGCCCGTGCGCCGCCCGCCCGTGAGCCGCCCGCCCGTGAGCCGGTGCCACCCGTGGGCCGCCCGCCCGTGCGCCGCCCGCCCGTGCGCCGCCCGCCCGTGAGCCGCCGCCTCTGAGCCGCCAGTCCGCGAGCCACCCGCCCGCCCGTGAGCCGCCCGTCTCCTACACCTGCGGTCCCGACCCCGTCCCAGCCATGCCTCGTCACCAGCTACGGCACACCGGGGGCACGTGCACCCCCCCCCCCCCCTTCTTCCCGTCACCTGTCGCGGCTCCTTCGGGGGCCGCACGCGGCCCCCTCAGGTCGCCTTGACAGGTGACGGGAGGGGTGACCTGAAAAGGGGGGGCAGTCGTCGCCCCCTCTGCCGCTTGCTTTGGCGCCCGGGGAGGCCGTGCGTCGCCCCCCCCCCCCCCCCCCCCCCCCCTCTTCTCCTCCTCCTTTTGTTCCCTCTGCTGCAGCTGCCGCTGGGGGGAAGGGTGTGGGAGTGTGGGGGAGCCCAGGGAGGGACTGGGGGTGGCGGGTGTGGGGGTGATGGGTGATGTCTGATCCCCTGGCCCTACGGCCCCATTCTCCTCCGTTTGCCCCCCCCCCCCCCCCCTCTGCTGCTCCTGCAGCAGTGTGAGGGGGATGGGGAGGGGGAGGGGGAGGGTGAGGGGATGTAGAGGGTGACCAACCAGAGCCTACCACCTCCTCTCCTCTCTCTCCCTCTCTCTCTCTTCTCTCCCTTCTGTTCTCTGTTTTCTGCACTGGTTGTCACTGCTCCTGCCTACTGCTGCTACTTCAACTGCACTCTGCTTGGTGTACCCCATTATGGGGGCGTTGACTGCATATTCTTCCCTACAGGCACTTATGGGGGCGTGTCAGAATAATATATAAATCTATATATTGTTTTGTAATTGCCTGTAGTGTAGACTAGTGTAGTTATATAATGTTCTGTTTTGGTGGTGCACCTTTCATCTTGCCTATATGTACTGCTCGCTCTATAGTGAAACCACTCCTCTTCTCTTTTCAACTTTCTCGACTCTCCTAACTCAAACTCACTCGAACTTCTCACTAGCTATGGCTCCTTAGCCAAGCTAAGATTCTGACACTCACTGTCAAAACATATATGGTTATGTTGTTTAAGCTATATGGGTGTTAGCACTAGAGGGTACTGAAATTCACTCGATGTTGTTCTTGTACCAGGTCCTACGTTATCAGGAATTTTTCCCTGAAATTCCTGATTTTCAGGGATTTTTTTGTACATATCCTGATTTTTCAGTGGTCAGTTTTTTAAGGGGCTGATTTTTCAGCCTTTAGGTGCTAGATGACTCTGATCTTTCAGGTTTTTTTTTCGAAAAGACACTGATCACTTTACGTTGTAACGAAACTAACCCTGAATGCGGTTCCTACACGTGCCGAGTGTAGGTGCCCAGAAGTACAGGGAATATCAGATTCCCGCGGTGTTTGGAAAAAAAATCGTCTGTTACTCACCGCCAGCACCACCTGGCGGTGAGAACGAGACAAATTCTACCCGAGTTTTACACCTTGTGGGCTGTTGAATTTGGCGCGCGTGGAATGATGGTTGCCCAGTTTCTCATCATTGCATGGGTTGACCAATCACAGGGTTGCAGCATAGCAATGCTGGCAGTGTGCGGTGCGAGGGTTTCTTGCACGTGTTGTCGTGTGGCACGTTTTGTCCAGGTCGTGCTGGCACCCTCTCGCTGCTCTGCTGTTGCGCCCATGCTTGCAAGCTAGCTAGTTAGTGTGTTCTAGTTATTGAAGTGTATCAGCGTTTAGAAAATAGGGGCACTGATGCATCAGGGATTTTAAAAAAAGAACACTGAACTTTCAGGGATTTTTTTTTTTTTAGACACTGATAATCAGGGATTCTACACAAGGGGACCCTGATGCCTTTACGTGCCTAAACGTGAATCATAGGCCCTGTCTTGTACCCCTCTCCTTGACCTAATAAACACACTATTATTCTCGACATGGTATAAAGCGGGTCCTTCCTAAGGACCATTTTTTTTGGAGGGCCCACCGTTTAGCTTTTTTTCTTGCCCGAAAACAGCCCGTTTAGCCCGCGAGCCGCCCGAGCGTGGACCGTACAGCCCGCGCCAGGCCCGTTTAGCTTGCGAACCGCCCACGCGTAGCCCGTACAGCATGCGCGCCGCCCTTGCGCAGCCCATACAGCCCGCGCGCCGCCCGCGTACAGCCCGTACGGCCCGCGCACGACTAGCACGCAGCCCGTACGGCCCGCACCAGGCCCGCATGCAGCTAGTACAGCCCGCGCTAGGCCTGCACGCAGTCCGTACAGCCCGCGCCAGGCCCGTGCGCACCTACCCTGCCTGTTGGATGCATGTCATTCTGAGTGCATGTCATCCTAACGTCCTGCCGAGTGCTCGTGCTATTTGTGCTTGCATGATTTGCATGAGCATATGTTATTATGCATGGCTGTTGGATATTGTCATCTCTGTGC